CCCCCCCCCCCCCCCCCCGGGGTATTTTCTCTAAATTAATTACTATTTGATAAACTATATTTCGTATACACTTCAGATATTATTTTGTACTCGGGGCCGTGGCAAACAAAATCTGGGCCCGGAGCAAAACCTATATTAAGCCACTTTCATTTCAAAAAAAAAAAAAAAAAAAGAAAGTACTGGTATCTATATTGATACACATATTTTATAAACTGGGCCCCTTTGTACCACACGGTTTAGGGCAAGAACTTGAAAAAATATAAATTTGATTCCTTTATGTGATGTTTCAAAGTCGCGAGTGGGGACAAGAGGGTATGTTAAAAAAGAAATTGAGAAATGGGACAAGGGTTGAGATTAACGACCCCTATCCCCATATTCCCCAAACCTCTCTTTAAATTTAAAAAGTTAGAAAAGGGAGAGCAAAGCTTTTGTAACAGAATTTCTTTTCAACTTAATCCTCTCAAATTTTTAAAAAATATTAAATTTGTGAAGCATTTTATCATGATAATTAAACTATTACTTTAAAAATGCAGCAAGCAAATCTTCAGTATACTTCTAAATATGTTAACTTAAACTTGTATTTGAATGAGGCATACTTTTCTGTAAAGCACTATATTTTATAACCAATGAAGAGAAACTAAATGAATCATGAATAGTTTTATTTACATAATTGTTTTAAAAAAACAACAAAGGAACACAATCATGTTTGTTCATCTTCTTGCTTCTCAATTTAAATTAAAATTAATTAATTTGGAAAATATTTACTCAAAAGAAATCACTTGTCACAAAATAAACGAGGCAGCTACTTTCATTAAACATGGAAGATTGACTTAACCTACTTTGAAACATCAGCTTCAACAAGTAGGTCTACATTTAAATCATCTGGGTCATAACTTTCTCTAATTGCTAATTATGTTTCAACTGATTTTATTATCAATAAGCTAGGCGTAGGTGGTTTACTTGGCAATAACTTTCAGAGATTTATTACTCAAAAGCTTGTTTATTTAATAAATTATTCCCTTGCATAATGATGCTATTACCAGCATAGGCTTCCTCCCATTTTCAGATGATTTCTCTATCATAGACAAAAAATGTACAAATTTGCATAGATTTTCCATCTCCAAACACACACATAAAAAGATTTTTTAATGCACATTTGAAAAAATAACCTCTGTTATGATAAAACAATACAAAAAAAACATTTAAATTTTAAAAGTTTGTAACTCCTTAATATATATGCAGAGCAAAATATTTATAAATGGGCATTTAAATAGTGCAAAATGAAAAGTAGGCTATTTAAAACAACTAATGACTTGAAAAAAAAACCTTAGTCTATTCTTCTTTAAAAAGGTGTCAAGTGATGGTAACTTTTTCCATCACAAGACCAGCAAATGATGAGATTTCTTGCCTAGGTCTTGTATCGAATGCCTAATCTTAAGCATCTCTGAATAAATATATAAAAAACTTTTTAAAATACTGGTTCTCAAAGATTTGACTTGATAGCATTAAGAAGTGGAAAGGATCCTAATTTGCAGACTCCAGTGTTGTCATCAAGGTGCATAGCCCAAACTCCTACTCCTCCTAGGGATTGAGATTTCATCCAAGCCAGCTAAAAAAAAAGGAGAAATTTGAAGTCCAATGATGTTTTTTTAAATTGTGAATATAATAATATGTAATGATGGAGATCAATTTAAATTGGATGAAAACTATAAATAAAACCAGTATGATTAAATTGTAAAGAACAGGCCTACACAACTCAGAATTTAAGGCGGGGCTTAATAAAAAACTTTATGAAAAACTTGTGCTTGCAGTAATACTTTATGAAAAACTTGTGCGGGCCGTAATTTATAAAAAAATTGTGCGGGCCGAAAGATAATAGGACAGGGGGGAAAGCTATTAAGAAAATAATAATAATAAAGATATTTCGTTATTTCACGTGCCGCAAAGTGCGGGCCAAAAGAAAGTAGGACAAGGCTTCTGCGGGCCAAAAGAATAAAGGTCATGGGAAAAGCTATTAAGAAAATAATAAGAATAAAAAAATATTTCGTTACTTCGCGGGCCGCAAAGTGGGTGCTGGTGATATGTGGCCCGCGGGCCGTATGTTATGCAGGCCTGCTTTAGAGGATATTGTAATATTAAGTAATTAAGGGAGTTTTCACATTCAGCCATGTGGTTCCCAACCCCTTCTATTTAAAAATATCTTAAAAAGCATTTTAATAACTTATTTACATATAAAAGTTTATCTTAGATGCCCGAGACAAAACGTTAACCCATAAGTCTTTAGTGTTTTGTTCTGGAACTTTGACTTTAATTCGGGTTGGAGTCTTCGGGGGATTGTTTATTTACTGCAGGAAATCTGCCAGAAGGCAATTAATAGACCATCTTTTTCGGGGTATGACTTACATGCCCTCTAGTCTGTCCGCACATCCTTATTTATAGTGCGCGCTTCATTTTTTAAAATGAGTTTTTGTTTCAAAGTTTTAGTTGCATCCCTAAAGAAGATTTCTCTTCATTAGTTATATTAGACTTAAAAAAGACGATTGATTGATACAAGTATCTAACTGAAGGTTCTCATACTTTATACCATTGTAGTGCAGTAGCTGTCCTGCTATAGTTGCATCTTACATAGACACCATACATGATGGATAACAGTACAATAGTAATTTCTAGAACTTTATGTTAGCCCTCACATCTCATACTGATTCTCATTGTGAGACGGTGTACGTGCTACAAGTTAAACACTGCCACATTTCTTTTATAATTAACTCATTCCCGACGGTTGCGACTAAATGCGTCTTTTCGGGATTCGCCGGATGCGTCCAAATGCGTCCCGGCGCATAGCGACACACCTCTCTCATATCTATTTAAAAATAGCAATGAAATCTCGCATCCCTCGAGACTTCCGGCGATGGCGTGGTTCAGCGTGATTTTAATTTAAAAACCGGAAGTTTTTATCTTGTTTCGCTTTAAAACTACGTGTGCTTTAGTACGGCGCGTCTTTATGTAGCATGTGTTCGTCCGAGGTGCCGAAAATCGATTTTTTGGTCATTGTTCATTATTTTTTCCCCGCTAATGTTATATTTATATTAAACCTTATTAATTTTTTGTTGCATTTGTTCTTAATTCATTAACATTAAATAATATTTAGTAGCTTAAATACATTTTTAAAAAAATGTAAACAATTTCCAAACGGGGTTACTTCCCTTTCTCAGGCAAATAAATTAAATACGGAAGTAGCATTGCAGGAGGGAATGAGTTAAACATTATTAGGATAATATAATTTTGATTGCCATTTGTATAAGTATATATAACATGTACGACTCTAGTCTTAGTTAAGTATATATTTTGTCACAGCCTGTAATCACAGAGTTATTTAAAATGTTTATTGTTAGCTGTGTAATTCGGTGTTAGTCAGGACATTAATAACCTCTACTATTTGTATCTTTTCAGATATTGTCCCTTTTCTTTAGATTTTTCTTTGGCCTTGTCCTTCGGAAATTTTTCTTAAGCTTCCTCTCAGGCATTGTTCAATGCTTGTACCAGACTTGTAGTTCTCATGACCTGATTTTCTCAAGTATCAGTCTCCCTCCAACTTGTCCACATAAGATTATTTAGGACTTAAAAGTAATTCTAATATTGCTAAGAACAATGAGTTATCCGTATATAAGACTAATGAATAAACAATAGTCGGAGAATCGTTTTCTCCCTTGCATTCGCTTATGCTGGAGCAGAGAGAAATCCATATAAAAAATAATATTAAGATTACATGGTTTTGCGAACATTGTTTTTTTGTGAGTTTTTCTTGTTCCTATTATGAAAACATTTTTGTCATGTCTGTTTAAAAAATATTAGATTTATTTACGTTAAAAAAAAAGGCAATATGTAACTCCCCTAAACTAAGGTCTCAACCTATATGCAGGTCACCCATAAATACCCACGTAAACAACCCCAACTAAGGGTGCCACCTATTTCCTGGTGCAACCCATACACTGTATACGGTAAGTTATTATCGCTGTTTAAACTGAATTGTACCAACAAAAATGGAGATCTGTCATCTGGAATTAAATTTTGTTGAATGAACATTTTGTATCAATGGTTGATTTTCTACCTCTTTACACAATAGACATTTCTAAATAGCTTACATCAACTATAGAATAGGAAAAAAAACCCCACAAATTGTGAGACCCATTAAATCAGATCAATCTCAACATTATGAAAAATCTATGCCCTTATAACTATGCTATGCTACCTTTTTCAATATTGTTGCTTTTTCATCATATGCCACCCATGTTGTGTCATTGTAAAGGTATGCTGCACCATTTGTATCATCAATCACCGATTTTGCGCCTTGCTGCAGTGCCACGCAAACCTTTCATTTTAAACAAAAAATGCATTTGTAAAGTCAAATAAGTGAACCATTTTAAAAGCATTATAACCTTTAAATGAATTCTGAATCTTATTATTACTTCTGCGTTAAAGTAATACTTGTAAATTCTTAAAACGTAAAAGATATTTTACCTAAGATAAACATAAAAAAAACAACATAATAATGCTCACATCAGGGTATACATAAACACCCCGGAGGTGTCTGTAAGGTCCAGGCAGTCCTTTATCTTTTGCAGGCGCATGCAGATCATGCTTTGCTGCATCTGTGAGAGTCCATGAGCGACCATAAGTTGAAATCCCCATTAAGAGTTTGTTTGACGGAAAACCTACATTTAAATAGTAGCTAAGCACTGCACTCTAAATGAAAAAATGGGACAGTAAAAATGTAAAAACAAATTGGATTGAATTAACCACATTATAAAATCATATTATCAAATTCTATAAATAGTTTAAAATAAAATAACATAATTATTTGAATTAATTAAAATCTTCTAAGTAAAAATTATTAGTCTATATATTCCAAATTTATATAGCTCTTTACCCATACATTAGAATCTGGTGGATTCAAAATATGCATAAAAAGATTTAAAAACTGTAAAGCAACATATTAAAAATGAAAATAACTTGTTTTAAGTCACAGTTTTTTGTGTCTACCAGATCAATAATAATTTGTAAATAATGAATTTTGTAGCATTGAAGATTTAATTAGACAAAATGTAATAAGGATAGAAGTTTTTTTTAACTCTATTATGTGGATATAAAATGTTAATAGGACGTTTCCAGCTGGTGTCAAAAAAATAATAATAAAAGAATATAGTATAGTAAGCTATATACTCTACAATTCTCATTGATTTCGGCTCTTAATAACATTCACTTATACAATGAAGAAGATAACAGTACAGTGAATACCACCCACTTTTAGTTTTATGAAAGCTTTAACATGTTAAATTAAGCCATGCAGTAGTCAATAAATGGGAATAATCACTAATGCTAGTCATTGATAGTAATATTAAATACATTTAATTATTTAATGGAAAAAAGCATTTACTAACACTGAAGTTCTTGTAAAGAATTACAAAAAAAATAAATATTTGTAATTATAGATTACTATGGTACTCAAAGTAGTTTCTACCAATGTTCCCTCTAAGGTTTGCTGGTTCGTATGCAAAATCGTCCAGTTGTGGGCAAAGTTTTACAGCATAAATTTTTTGTTTGTGCAAAATTTTACAGCCCAAATTAAAAACACACACTTACATGGAAATTTGCTGCGCGGATACTCAAAACTGTTGCCAGCATCTGTGAGTTAGCTGCGCAGCAACGCAGCTTAAAGGGAACATTGGTTACTACCGTACTTCACTGTCTTAGTCTTAAAATGAATGATATCAATGAACTGATCTCCATTTCTAAATTTATATAGATTTTAACTTCTTGTTGTGCAACACTAATTTATTGTGCCTTGTGCATAAATGTTTCCTTTCTAAATCTATTGAAAACCCATACTAAAGTCTGTACAGCTGTACACCTCAGCAAACGGATACAACCTCTCAAATGAAACTGTACAAAGTAAACCTACAGGTTGACATGTATGTCTTTAACTCTTTTAATATTCTTGTATAAATGAATTGCAAAAGTATTATTGAGCAATATAAATCTTAAATTATTTTCAGTGCAACTCAACTGTTATTCATTAAAACAGATTGTTTATATTTTCTCTGACAAACATAATAATAATAAAGATAAAATACAAACATTTTAAAGAATTTAAAATAGAGATTAAGTGTCCTATGTTTTCATTCACAACTTAAAAATTAATTGATTACAGTTATTATTCACCCTTTATTTAAATTTTTTTTAAAGTAGTGTACCAGTGTAAAAAAGTTTTGCTAATATTTGCAGTCAAATTTACCATAGAAAATAGTTTAGGTTCTCCTTTTGGTGTAAACAAAGGGCTGTTATAGCCTGTTGTGTTGTCGATATTTTTTATAAATAAATGAAAGTCGTAAGTCATTGCTGTCATGAAGTCCATAGCGCTAAAAAAAATAACATTGTTAGTGTAAGTTTGATATTAGTCTTTTAAACTGACTGTGGTTACGTTGCATACAAATTTAGTGATTTTATTAACATTAATAATCAATTGCAGATAGGTTTACTAATAAATGTTTATAAACAATGTGTTTAATTCTTATACTTATTAATTGTTTAACTTTTGTTTTAGAGAAATTAAGCTTTTTATGCGATAAACCTAATTGATCTTTTTTGAATGTAGCATTCCACTTCAGAAAGTAAATTGTAACCAAAATTTTTATAGACCACTGAAATAAATTACTTATTACATAAAAAAACATAACTGACATTAATATACAGGGTTTTGTTAAAAAACTGGTATTGTTTAAGTATAATGATATTTGTTAATCATTGGATACTCATGGATATAAGTGAAATTAAAATAAAATGATTTAGAGTCATCACTTGAAATTTACCTTGCAAATGTTGGAACATCATAGCCACCTAATGCACTGATACTATTTGGTAATGCAGCAGACATAAGCATTTTGACTGGTCTAGTTTCAGCATACAATATCTATTTTTTTTTGTAAAAAAAAAAGAAGTTTTCAAATCAATTGAATATGGTACAGGAAAAAAATGGTGACAATCATTTGAAGTTCAATGGAAGATTATTTTTAAAACCAAATAAATTTTGATATAGCTATATAAATTTATTTTAGGAAAACAACAGGGTTATAGGATAATACCTGGATAAATAATTTAAAATTCTCTTTATCTTTTGATTTTGGAAACTCCCAGTCAAGATCAATGCCATCAAAGCCATAGTTGCTTAAAAAAGAAACAGCCAGCTTGGCAAACCTGCAAAAACAATAATAATAATCATTCATCATGCAAACAATAAAAGCAATGTAGATAATTCATTTTATTTCTATATACAGTTGCATTTTAGAAGAAATGTCTGACCTTCCATCTGTCCCCACTGCTGCTAGTTATTGACACTGATAAGATATGAACATTATTTGTACAATTTTATGAAGTACTGCAGTTGTCTGCTTTGTGCACCACCAGTCATGTTCTTATCCTGTTGTTATTCCTTACCAAATGCCTTTCTTAAGAGTTGAAATAAGTTCCAATAAATTGTCTTTGCACAATATAAACAAAATTGCTAATCAAATTTTATAATGTTATAATATTGTATATGCTTACTTCTTCATTACATCGCTCCCAGCACTCACAACAGACTCAAAACCAGGTTGAAGGGACAACAGAACTTTCAAATTTGGATTGTTCTTTTTTAACTGAACAAGTGTTCTGTAGATTTTAGATAATTAAAATATGATAGACTATATGACATTCTTCAAGGAAGTCTATTAAATTAAAACTATATCTCCATGCAGAAAAAGCTTAATTAATTTATTTAGTGCAAACTTTAAAAAAAAAAGTTAAAGCATAAAGTTAACCAGTTTTCCATTTAACCCTTTGATGATAAAAAAAAAATTATTTAAATTTATAGAACCACTTTAAATAAACAAAATTAAATAAAGCAGACTGGTTCAAGCCAGCACATGGTTAGTGACTATTACTTGTAATTTTGAAGATCTGCTGAAGATATTGGCTGGATTCCATTGGGGCTCACTATTCCATAGGAATAAATTATGTGGGTGCATAAGTCAGCTGGTACTTGGGTTGCAGGGAAGAATGATGTGGCCATATAATAACAAACAAATGTGTTTGTAGATGATGTTGAGTTGTGTTTGAAAGCTAAAAGACAAATGGGTAATGAATTATTTAAAACAATTGATTAATAGGCCAATTGAATTTAGTGTTAAAATTATATCTTACATAGATTACATATGAGCTAGAAATTACATAAAAAAGTAGATATACTTATTCTTAGGAAATTCTTTTCATTTGTAAAATTTTATATAAATCATTTTATCAACTATATTTTAGTTTAGTTAAGGTTCCAAAATAATTTCAATTAAAGTTATATCTCACTTCTTTTTCAAATTAAAATCAATATTAAGAATAGGTATACATTTTAATTCCCTTTTTTAAAACCACTTACAAGTTATTTTTAAAACATAACATATAATTTTAAATTTATTTCTAATATGTTTTACTGACAAAATTTCTTTTTCTTGCTAAAGAAACTCATATATTATAATTTAAAAAATTTTAAATGATAATTTAATTTCTTACCAGTTGGCAAGCCAGCAAATGTCAGCATTATTAACACAGCTAGATACCAGGCCATAGTAAGTAATTGTCAACCCCAGACAAGTGTAAGAAATGTGAATGCTGGTGAAAATAAATGGGGGGTGGATGTAGCCTTCTTGAATATAAAAATAGTTTATATGGTAAAATAACTCAAGCTTAACTAAAGAAAACAAACAAATTTAAATGAGATTTTCCAATTTAATTAGTGATAGCAATTAGTTTTAGTAGTAAGCCTATAATTATAAATAAAGTAAGAGTACAAATACAAAAAAGACTGCCTTATAACTACCTTCTTAATCACAAGACATAAAGTGAAAACCTTGTTGCGAGAGTGTCTGCTAGTAGTAGGCCTACTCAATGAATCGCAAATAATAAGTTGTGAATTTCCACAAACTAAAATTACACAAGTTAAATAATTTTCTTCCTGGTCCTGGTCCTTCTTAATATTAATATTAACATGTTTATAATGTAATTTTTGGTTTTGCTTCCTGATCATCAGCTCCTAAACGTAAGCACTGTGTCTTCTTAGTTTTTTTAGTTATCTTCCGTCTAAGAATATTCTGTACAGTTGAATATGACACCGACAAGAAAATAACCCCAAACCTAACATTAACAACACAATATAAATTACACTTTTCTTGAAATAAAGAGAAGGGGGGTAAAGGAAGGGGCGGGGCGTAACTGAGAAAACTTGTTGTAAGGCACAAACTAAAAGTTACTTCCCATTTTTTCGTAGAACTTTCAAATGAACCGGAAATCAGGTAATTAAGTTATCAGAAGCTGAATGAACTCTCGCTAACGAACGGATTACATCGTCTAACGACGTTTATTAAAAAAAAACATAACTTTTTATGAAACCTTTCCTCATTCCTTTTGTTAGTTTTAGAGAACATCTCTTTCAAAATATTATTTCGATAGTTTCTTATTTACAAGTCTTTGTGACTTGCTCTGTAATTTACTCCCAACAAATTCACCAGGAAATTACAATAATTGATAATACGATATTTGTCTCCTCACTTGGTAATTAATAATTATAGCAGTGGTTCTTAACCTTTTTGGAGGTACTGAACCCCATCAGTTTCATATGCGCATTCACCGAACCCTTCTTAATAGGAAAAATAAAATATGATTTTTTTAATGAATTTTTTTAAAATAAAAATCCGCTGAACCCCTGAGACTGCCCCACTGAACCCCTGGGGCTCGATCGAACCCAGGTTAAGAACCACTGAATTATAGCAAATCTCAGATTATGAGCTGATGCAGTTCAGCGGAGAAAATGAAAAGTTAGGAAACTATAAAGTCGGATAATGAATGGGGATTTTTGTTTTGGTGGGGCTCTTTAGCTAAAATAATACAGTCTTCGGCTCCATCGCGGCTACAGGGCGCTCTCATATACAAGGAAATTAAAGTGGTGATGTAGATGTATTTTTTTTAAAAAAAGGTTGTACTTTAAATTGCACGGAACAGCTAAAGAAGAAAAAAAAAAACGAAAAAAAAGGCGAGCAGTCTCAAAAAGTCTGCTTGAAGATGCACAGATGCCGATGCTTCCCCGTTGAAAACAACTGGGTTGGAGAGAAAATGAAGTAAAGAATGTTGATGCATTTACTCGAAGTCACCATAAAGATCACGAACAGCATCTAAATATAACGACTAAATATAACGACTGAATCATGTCAGAGATATGCTTGACCACACCATTTACGTTCATACAGTGGATGCTTTAAACATTTCATCGATGGCTCAAGCACAGACAAAGGATTAGAGACACTGAAAATCCTAAACCAATGCTTCCCACAGTTTTAAGTTTGACGGATTGGTGGATAAGGTTTCAATACTGACCGGTGCCAAATTTATTACTTATTTTAATTTGACCTATAGTATAACATAAAATATTTTAAATTCGTCATTAGCCCATTCGAAAGGAATCGATTATATCTATTAAATATTTCTGTCTGTTGCAATGCGTAAAAAAGCTCCAAAAGCAGTTCTTGACATATTTAAAAAAAAATTAATTCTTAATAGAGGATATAAAAGAAATGGAGCAAAAATCATTTGAGAAAAGTAACAGTGACTGTTAATGCGAAAGGGATTCTGCTCATTACTGAACGGCGAGGCAAATCTTGGCTTTATTGTATACAGTTCCACAAGCAAAGGGCAACGAATATCTGATCTTACTGTAGGCCTACTTTGTCTTAACAATGGTCATGGACGATAAATCCGATTTGAAGAGTTAAGTTCGAGGGAAATTAGAGGATAATGTTCAAGGCCATTTCAGCAGGATCCGGATATTATTTGTCACTAAAATGCTGTTAGGTACACGATCAGACTCTATAAGCCCCAATGAGTGACTAAATGAAAGGTAACTCTGTTGCTAGGGGACATAACTCTGACGTTTTAACTGCCTATGTTCCTTCTAACGTCGATTTTGGCGCACCCTGATGTTGGCACCCGGTGCGGTGTCCCTTTTCACGGCCCTGTAAATTATTATACATCGTCCAAATATATTTGAGGCTAGAGACCGACCGAATATCGGCTTCGGTTTCGGCGCCGAAAGTGGCCATTTTATCACTTTCGGCCAAGTTTCGGTTTCGGCCGAAACTGAAAAGTTAACTTTCGGCTTAATTTCGGTTTCGGCCGAAACTGAAAATTTAACTTTCGGTTTTTCTTCGGTTTCGGCCGAAATTGACTTAGACTTTCGGCCATCCGGCCGAAAGTGACTCAGGTTTTCGGTCAATTGAAACTCAGCAAAAGCTATATTTAACTACAAACTAAGCGACATTTAAGAACAAATTAAGCGATCTTTGTGAACAAACTAAACGATATTTA